TGTGTGTGTGTGTGTGTGTGTGTGTGTGAATTATGAGATTGTGTACGGTTGCAAATAGGTTTATCGCAATGACTTTAAAAACTTCCAATAACAATCAATGACAAATTGCTTTTTTTTAATTTTTCGACCCCTGAAACACTTCTTTATGATCAAGAAAATATTTTAGCAGTTACCTCTGCAGAGAAGTGGTCACATTTTTGCGAAATTCAAACAGTGAACCGGCAAAGCAATTTCTTACGGGTGACTCACTCAGGGCTGGTACACTCGCGTCGTGAGAACTGCACCCCTCCACCGCAGGATCGCGAGCAGCTCCCCCACTCCTCCCAGCTGCTCCAACCGCCGTCGATTGGTAAAATGACCTCCCCTTGGAGCAGACACTGTCCCATTACACACCACTATGAGTAAATGTGGAATCAAGTTAGGCTGGAATGTTGTCCTATTCAACTGCGTAATGCCTTCAGCAGTTGCCACTTACCCTTTTGTAACCACATCGGGAGCCCTCGGCCCAGGGCGCTTCAACCGGAAGACACATTTCACGTTGTACGTCGTAGCAATGCAGTTGCTTGCACACAGGAGACTAGAGAAGAGTGACAAAGGTGCCGATGATAACACCTAAGCTACGTCACTACACAGAATCTCCAAAGCTCACACTGTGTCCACAAAATGGGGCCCCGCGTTGTCTCAGTGCCAGGGCGCATTGTTCGGTCAGAGTGAAACGTAATCCTGGTTTGTGCTGTTCCATATGTTGTGTCAACTGTTTTGATGTAAAAGCGGTCTTCTGCGAGTTTTGGGTCCGTAAACAGGCAGAGTCAGGACGACTGAAATCGCAAATCAAGTAGCTTTAAATTTTATGAATCCCAGTCCATAGCTATCGAGTCGTTGGTTGTGCTGGTGAAAGTAGCCATAAGTATATCGATAGTAAACTCATGGAAAATATATGATTGACACGCTCTGGATAAAGCGTCGTTAACGGACGACTCACGAGAGGAAAAATTTAATGTTCTCCCGACTGCAGGCAGACCATCGGAAAGGGTAGAGTTCAAAGTAGAGAATACCAGACATGATGGTATCACGTTGAATTGTCAGGTCGTCGGTGTCGGGAGTTCGACGACTAAGATTTTGGACTGCCCTCTTGCGACCCGGTTGTTCCTCTAGGCCACACTCAGATCCCACTTCAAAGTCATGCTTAGCTCCCAGTCTACGTAGGTCAATTTAAGAAGTGGTTGAGTTCTTGCATCACATCAATACAGCAATATGAGAAAACGCGAAAGCAATGTATGTAGCAAGACGAAGGCAATTGCGATATTTCACTTAGAGTACTCATGCTGGTACAGTGTAAAGGGAGACAATTATTAAATTCGCAGTCCAACTAGATTAGGAATGATGCAAATAAAAGTTCTCCATCTTTAACTAACACAGGACATACAAAGTTTGACTGTACAGAAGTGACTTACTGATGACCAATTTCGTGGGCAATGATATCGGCTGTTCCAAAGCCTCTATCAACAACAACAAGGCAACTGCTCTCCCGACTACATATGGCTTGGTAGTGAGCAACGCCTGTAAGATGCGAAAGCCGTTTAATAAAAGATAGACGGTCAAACTTTGGTCAAACTTGACCCAGATAGTCCTGATTAAATGTTAGGTGAAATATGCGTGTCCCGCTGAACTAGAACATCCCCGTTTCAAAGTGGGAAATTGGTCGCCCACTAAACGTTTCTATGGGATCCGATGCTGTGTATACTAAACCAAAATTTACTTCCCAGCCTGTTCATGCCACGTCATCCGTAGTTAAACATGTAGCTTCTTATGCAAAGATGTAAGCTTAATAAATTTAACCCGCTGGAAACAATGTTGTGATACAGCTAACCAAATTTGTTTAAGAACTATAAAACTGTTTGGGATTATGCAAAGAAGAGAAACTGACTTTATCCACTATCGCAGTAGGCAAGAGATTGTGAAGTTGCGTTTTAAGAGAGCCCATTGTTATTGAACTTTCAATGGATAAAACGTGGACCAACGTTTCGGGTTCAATAAAATTATGCATCTTGCACTTCCGCGGTTTTCGTTGTCAGAATGATTTTTCATGACCGCGCAATATCATTCAACACTTCAAGATGTCGAGTTTGACGTTGAGAGCCACTGATGGGTACTATTAACTTCACGAGACATCAATTATTTTTCATGTATTTCCTCTGATGACAACTTGATGCACTCCAGCCCGCACTAGTTGGCATATGCGTGATTAAACTCAACTTCTCAATGAAATGTGTTGCGACGCCTACGACCATGAAATTGAGGAATGCATGAAGTTGCTTTTGGATTGTAAAATAACGCAAAATGATTATCTCGAATGTGAATGCTTATTTTTGGGGACCGCGAAGGTCAGAGTCTTCTATCAACTCAGTTTGACAGAAAATTTGCATCACATCTAAGTAAATGTTTCTGAGCAGCCTCACCTTAGCGCTTATTGAGTTAAAGCGACCGTTAATTGTGAAGAGGCATTAGGAGCCCAAACGTATATGAGAAATTTAGTATTGCAATCATGCCTTCATAGATCACGATGAAAATTTAATAAACGTACCAAGTGCAGTTGTCTTAAAGTTCCTAAAATGGCAGCAATACTCCATGTTATCAAACAAAGCGAAATGTAAAACAAATGTGGCGAAAATTTGTTAATTTTGTTAGATTACAAAAGTTGAGTTGATGTGCTACCACTGCCTAGCCAGGCACTCCATCGGTTCCATATCCCATTTGAAAGCAAGGCTGACGGCCTACTACACCTCAAATATGCACCAAGCCCAATGCATTTCGTCAGATTTCAAACCCTAAGTTTGAGCATTAACATTCACGTAATGTTGCGTCTGCGGTTTGTCGTGAGTACAGATGAAGCGAAGCCTAAGCATTACATTTTTGAGTGGACAAATTAACCACTGTACTGCATGCAGTGATTGGAATGCATGAACATAAATTCTCACTTACCCAACATTGAGGAGAATAGCCGAGTCCCAATTCATTGTCGGTCTTCTAATCCTATTTATCCAATGGCAAAATTTACCCATCACTTCCTCGTGATTTTTATTTGACCAGTCTTCGAGGCCTTCACGTAGCTAAAATGGAAAGGTGGGCAGGCACTGAGTCCCACAACTTGGTTTGCTTTTGGCATTTCGTATTATCGGTTAAATGCGTAGTCACTAAGGGCAACCAACGCAAACAACCAAATTCCACCTGTTGCACTTGGGCTTAGGATGAAATTAATGAACTATGCCGTTCTGGGTATGCTACGCGCTGAAGACTCTGCTGTTTAATCTTTTTTCGATGGAGGTGAAAGCCCATCTCGGTGCCGGCACTTGCACTTTGGGACAGTTTTGCCACTTGTCACGGAAAGATCATTTATTTTCGTTCTCACCTCAAACTCAAATGCATTAACTTTTAGGCGCAAAAGGATGGTGGAAATTATTTTACTTTCCCATTCCAAATTTGTAGAAATGAGTGCTAGCAGATTGGACAAATAAAATGTATCGCTCATATTCATGAGGCTATTTGAAAGCAAGCATTGCTAATAAACTTACTGCAAAATTGGAATTCAGAAGAAGTATGTCCACAATATTGATTTTGACCGACGCTTTAAGGCTGGGGTGTTTGAAGTTTTGGGCCACCTTAAAAGGGCAGAAATAAAAACTCGGTCTTACTGAAACTGGAAGAGGACCAAATTCTGAATCGAAATTAACTCCTACAAATTTATTACAATCCACCCACACGGTATGCTCTGTCAGAATAGCTATTCATATATGAGTGAAAATTGCAAGGAAAAGCAAGTGGAGTGAAGAAAGCATACGGCGCCAAATGTTGAGACCAGATACTCTGTGAGACGGCCTTTGAGAATGAGGTGCATCTTTCTAGTCACCACAACTAGCAATTCGATGGTGTTTTCCTCCACCGCTTGGAAGCTGATTGTGGGTACGGATTCGCCTGCCGTCACGTTGATCTGCAACCTTTCGTCCAAGTATCGGTCAAGCTCGCCACTATTGGAAGTAGGTTCACCGTTGGCACGCGACTCTGTCTCCATTTTCCATTGGCGATGCATGGTTATAGTGTTCCGCTTCGAAAGAGTCATCAACACGGGACGAATCTCTCGAGGCCTCTTCAACATTCTCGCAGGTAGCTTCATATTTGCCAGCGCTCCACTCTCCTCAAGCCGAGCTGATACGAAACATCGATTCTGAGTCAGACCTTCAACATACACTACGCTTCAAATTATTCTACTTTTTCGTTCTGGAGAACAAATAATATACCGTCTTGGAAGTTTAAAAAGTGGTTTTATGCAAACGTGGTTTGTGACCTTGGTGGCCATGTCTGCAATGGAAATCAAAGAGCACAAATAATTTGACAACGGAATGTAAAAGTGGAACACTCTGGTCGAAGTAAATCTATTGATACTCTCATAAATGATTCACATGTACAAAATCCGAAGCTTCCCTTTAAAAGGTGCCACGATTCCACATTGCCTGCGGTTTCCAACAGAAGCCTTCTCTCGAAAGTCTGACCAATGTTTGTTTGAGTGAAGATGTACTTACATTCAGAGAAGTTTAAGGTCACTTTTATGCATGAAGTAAGGTTAATTTGGCTTAACAACGCTGTGAAGCTAAGTGATATGAGGTAAAGACAATAAAAATGCATTATTCATAGTTTCATTATTCCTAGACGTTCATTTTGTAAGCATTCACCAATTCCGGTGCACATTGTAATGTGTATTCATTGGTTAAATGTAGATTCTAGAAGTCGGCGCCGAGGAAGCAGTTAGAACTTGGAGCTAGCAGGGGAGGAGAAAGTCTCGAACGTGGACCTGGAATTAACTCTTCTCCCTTATCGTTCACTTTGCAAAACTACTGCTCAATAACGGACTTGCGAGAAGACTAACATGAGGGAGCGGAGATGGATTAATGATGAAGTTATAGACCTGATTTAATACCTCATAAAGCCTTAAATTAAAATACAGTAAATTAAATCTGATTCCTTTCAAAGTGTCTGCAAAGTAATCATGTGCATGGACGCTTTTCATAAATGTTTCACCAATTCAATTGCTGGAAAAGCAATTTTTGGGATTTTGAATATTTGTGCGAAAATAAAAATAAAGTAACGGGATTTGACACTTCGGGAGGAGAAAGCCGCTGCTTAAGAACTTGTGGCAGTTTGCAAGTGTCACTCTGTGCGCCTGTTGTAAGATATCACATGGACCGCTTTCTTTGCATCCACAAATTTGATAAGTTTATGGAGCGGGAGTTTCGTAAACCCACATGCTATTCGTCACCACCGTGAATCAATGCCTAATGATTCACAAAATAGTGCAACTGAAGCGAAAATCATGAAAGAATCTGGCAAGCCCTCACCTGCCTCCACAGTATTTGTCAGACCGTATTCAGTCAGCCTCCTACTCATTATGGCTGCAGGTTAGTTCACCCTGTTGTAAGCAGTCAAAGTGAAGTCGAAAGTAGAGCACTTTAAGGTGTCAGTAAGTAATTCAAGAAGTGCTACATCAAAGCCTAAATTAAAATGCATTTTTTTACTATTTTACCAGCCTTTTCCTATTTTGCTGGACAAAACTAGTTTGCAGTCACAGTAAACGTCAAAACTTTGCCAAAGTTAATTGCGAACAATGTGTTAAGAATTTGTATGCAGGGAACAAATGCTTTGATCATGGTTAGCAAAGCACTTTCAACAGTAATGGCTATGAACAAGCATTTAAAAAAGGTTACAAGCATTGCTATGCACTTTGTAGCGCCACTGAAAAGAGGACATCAACATACCGAGCATAGTTTGGTGGTTGTCGATGTTCCAATACTCATGCATGTGTTTGCCGTTTGGATTGTTCATGAATGAACGGGAGAAAGGCCCCTTCTTGAATCCGTCACTTTGGGGTACGAGGAGGCAAAGGATTGCATAAAGGACTAGAACTGCGTTGTGCTTTATGCACATGAGTGAAAGACTGTCAAGTAATAGTACGTATTTTTCTGTTCGTGCGAGTAGATATGTGTACACACACGCAAGTTAATCGTTATCAGCTAAGATTTCAGAACAGCACCACACGTCACAAACAACGTTACCTAATTTGTTAAAACAACTATAAAACTACACAGTCTTCCCTTTTTCTGTACGGACAATCATATAGGATCCAAAGGATTCAAGTAAGGCGATTCGCTTCAACATGCACGAGATCTCAATTGTGCAATGAACTGATATTTTGAATGCAGGGCCGCACGTGTGAATGATAACGAGCGAGATGTCGACAACGTTGAAGATGGCGTTCACCAGGCATCTAATATCTTCAACAATAATAGCAATGAACGAAGAGTTGAATGACTGGTGGGCAGAGGTTGAATGCGGTGTCGATGAAAGGACAGGGGCGAGATGAATTTAATAAGGCCTAGAGGACACGTGGATTCGACGTCCGCTAATGTTATTCTGCTACTGAATTTGTCTGTGCATGACGAGGTCCTTTTATACTTGATTGCCGGCATCTGGCGTGTGTGCGAGGGTGCGTGCTAACAAAGTAGGTCAGACTGACCATCTGACCAATGGTCGTACGCCTGCAATGCCACTGGCCGGGGACTGTAGCCGTCCTGCGGTGGGGCCAGGGTTGTTGAGACACTGCACTCATTGAAACTGCACGAGAAGTATTCCCATTTCCCAACGCTCCACCTTATCAATCTCACTGTTTATTCGCCTGCAAAGTTTTTATGGCTCCACATCCTGTAGTTTAACTATCGGAGGCGTTTTGCGTTATATTTAATGTTACACTTGCGCACCATTGCGCCCTCAATGCATATTCATTTCATTTCATTTCACCCTGGATGACCGACATCAGTGACAAATTCGTTCAGATACAGGAAAAATGGACAACTTAGTTGGAGTGAGGATTTGCCAAATGAAGAACCGCTAAATCTAAATCTAGTGCTTTAATTACTAATAGCTCTTTGCTAATAATTTGAGGGCTGAATGGTACTATTATTCACAGGTACCATCTCTTTTTATTATCAGTATAGCAGATAAGTCAGGATACATAAAAGAACTCTCAAATTTACTAAGGCGATTTGTTTTGGAGCTTGGTAAATTCTCACAATGGAGGAAGTTCATAGATCTCATTGCTGAACATTGCCTACGCATGGCACGCTTTAGCCAGTTTTCGTTCTCTTTATGAAATGCTACCATAAATATGAGTATTTTGCTTCCAAATAGCTTGGCTTTAAGTAACTGTTAGCCTAAAGTACAAAATTTGATAATGATTGTAATGACTGCAGCATCAATGGGCGATTGGTACTCCGCTTAACTACGTATGCATTGTTTTTTTCCGAAGGAAATAGTTATGACCACTCACATGTTTACGCATGATTTGTTTTACGTTGTAATGAAAACTACGTCCATAAAGTGCAATGACGGTGAAGGTCAATGAATGATAAATTTACTGTTATTTGAAAGGGCTACCTCCATAGTGCACCCATAAGACTGTGCCCTCCACAATCATAGTTTTTCGACGTAGACTAAAGTGGGTTTTAGCACTCATATCGAGAAAGCATTGGTGTGCTTATGCATGTTTCACACTTTGCTTTATCTTAATTTTTCTCGTGTTAATCAGCAATTTAACATTTGTATTCAAATTCAATTACGTTGTCTTGAGTTGTAGATGGAGAATGCCAAAAGTGCCTAATTATGCCCCTTAAAGATATGCTGAAGAGCAATTAAGAAGCCTTAAAAGGAACTCAGTTGTAGGCAATATTTCAAGCTTACATTGTGAGTTGGTGCCCACAAGTTTCTGCGACTTAAGCAAGAGATTTGAGTTTTGGTTTTTGGTAGAGAGTACAACGCTCTTTGTGGAAATGTATGAGTTCAAACGCCATCGAACTTCCTGTTGGTGCCTCACCAGAAACAACCCGAATGTATCAAATTAAACCAATTTTCCCCTCAATTCAGGGAAGGCCACTCATTTCGTCAATTGCAATTTTCGCGTGCCACCTATGGGAAGACTAGCTTTCCAACTAGTGGAGGTGGTACAAAGAGAAAATGGATTATTGTTTGTGGTCATGCGAAAAAGCTAACATGAGCGGAGGTAGTGGGAACGCACAGAAGTCTTTTAGGCTTTAGGGTCAACGACCGAACACGTGCAACCTCTAATTAGACCAGTGATGTAGTTCCCATACGCTGGCTGTATTGTTACTCTAAACAGACCTTACCAGCTGCCAATGCCTTGGCCGTAGACGTCTGTTAAGAGCAACTTCTAGCCTAGCTTTCACCACTGCAATGACCCCGCTGCATGACTCCGTAAATAAATCCTGACCTCAAAGTTGTACTCCTACAAAGGCACCAAACGTGTTTATTTTAGAAGTGCGAATAGAATTACATGCAAGTTCAAGAGTAGATATATTTTGAGGTGGATGTGCAACTGTCTGACTTTAAAATGCGGACTATAAGGTTTCACAAAGAATGACACCGCCGGATATTAAAAGTAATGACTCGAAATGGCATTTATAGCTAAAACCTTCCCATTGAAAAGCCAGACACGGTGATAAACAGCTATATCAAACAAAACCTATTTGCAACTATACTAGTGGTTTTGGTTTAGCTATGTAAATAAATCGCAGCCCTCTATCGCGTTCAAAGCGGTGATAAAACATGTGCCTTGTTTGTTCCGAAAACTTTTGCACACATTTTAGCAAAAATGGCAGACGTATGCACACTCTCAACCCATGCCTTAAGCGACTTCCACATTTCACGCTTTTTCCAAGTAAATCACCTCGAAAAGCCTGGAAGTCCAGAGTTACAGTTAATTAATCAGAATAGAAGCGGCATCGTACTTATTAGCTTGAAAGTTAACCTTAAGAAATGACATTTATTCACGCATTACTTACTGAAGCGTGTGCCACCATTTATGCACATAAACTGCTCACCTGCGTTGAAGATGCAGTAAATAATAGTGACATAAACCCGAATTCAAACGATTTATTCAAATTTTAAGCTATGATGAATAATATAATCGGGCGAATGAGTTTAGACTTCTGACTTCCAAACGCTGGAGGCAACCAATGAGCTATTTGCATGTCATTTTGTGCTGTTCCATTGCAAAACTGTCCGTCTTAGCGGTAGTACGGAACATTTCGAATGTTAGTGGCCGAAGTTGCTTAAGCAGTTCCTGTTTATAAAAGATCTCACCAGCATTGAATTACTACACTATAGTGTGGTCTGATCTGCTGGGAAGATGGATTTTTATAGAGCACCTGATAAGTCGGAGAGAACGTCACTGTGGTACAGGGTAGAGGCGTTCTTGACAAATGTTTTGTATGGCCAGCAATCTGCGCATCACCGAGGGTAGACATCTGTGACCCATATGTAAGGTAGCGATGAGGCTAGTCAGGTGAATTCCTGTGGTGATTCAGCCCTGCAACGTTTCACTGCAGTTGATGAAGCTGAATTAAGAAAAAAAGAGTGTAGTTTTGGATTAGGTTGACATTTGCTCAGACATTGTGCGCACCCAAAGGAATGCCTTCCATTCTAAGGATCATATTCATTCTCCTGGAATTGGCTGATACTTTGGTTCTGACATTTTCATAACAAGGTCATTATTTATTTAGCCTTGAAGACTTAAGGATATTCATTTTCACTTTGTATTTTTTCTGGGTGTAATTGGAGCTCGAGTTGAAACATCGAGGATTAAGCGCCCGAAACTAAGTGAAGCTAATTATTTTTATGAGGTTTAGAAGGTAACCCTTTTGCGGTAATGCTGAGGAGTATGGCTGCCCTTGTCTGTCGGGACGACGGTATGGATTCTAGAATCTAAGACATCAAAGAATAAAAAAATGTCATGACGTAGTTGTGCTTAAAAATCAAATTTTGGTGAGAATTATTCAAGTGTTATGAAACGTTAAACCTAACCGAGAACAACTGATACGGAAGTGACTCAGTTAGGTATTAATGCAAAAGCCATTTATAATCCACTTGTTCATTTCCTGTGTCTTGGTAGTGGTTTGATAGTTTTGAAGCAACAGAAACATGTTGAACACCGTCCCGCTGCAGAGTAGATGGTGGGCGACGAATGATTTGAGATGTTTTACCGTATCCGCTCTCGTACCAAACCGCGATGTACTGGTCAAGGAATAAAGGGGAAGGAATTTTACCTTCAAAGATAACAACTTCACCACCCACATAACCGAACTTTTAAACAAAGTTTTGCAAACCGATTTGTGGAACATGATAGTTTTCTGCTGAGATCCACATTAGGGCAAGTTCAACCAGAATTCAAGAATTTGGTTGTAAAAGTTCGCATTTTTAATAAATAAGGTAGACTGTTAATCTCGATCACATGGCCACTCAGCCTCCGAAAAATTTTTCGCTTCCATATGGTCACTATGCACTTCTATAAGTTCCACCTTCAAATTGCGCATACTTTA